TTGAACGCTTACCAAAGGTCTACTTGAAGTGGGTAATCAGCAGTACGCTATACTTTCACACTGAAGATGTGCGACGCCTTCGCGATCCCCGAAAAATAAGGCTGAGCTGAAGTTGCTTGCTGTGCAACAGAAGAATACAAACGCTAGCTGGGAATGACTTTATCAACGACAATATGGCAGGATACGATGCGTCAAGGCACTGTGATGGCCAATTCAGTTCATGTTCCTCTACTAACACATGTCATCAACGTCCCTAGTTTTCGGAGTGTTGCTTTTCCCCCGGAATGGTTTCGGGGTGTAGTCACCTCACCTGATAAGCGTGTTCTCGGAGTGTGTCTGTTTCCCCACTGTTCCTCACATATGCACCCTCCACTCACAGAATTATGAAACACTCTGCGGATAATGGAGCAGCAACTGTCACTGTGGTTATCATGCTTTCTCGCATTCCCGTGGCATCTCATTGGGTTATAGTGGACCGATACGCTGACCGCATCTTAGGGTCCTTCTTTCTATTTCATAATCATTTCTGACATTTCTGGGTCGCTAGATATGGTACCCTGCAATCTTGGAACTGCCGATTTCTTTTTCAACCCCGGGGGTGTGTGGACAAACCAAGCCTAGCTCTCTCACTGATATCTTGTAGTGTTCGGCATCTTTTCCATCACGATACAGTTTCTGCCTCCGCAGTACTTTGCAAATACGGAACACTGCAATACCGTCTGTTAAGCGCACCATCATTTCGGATACCACAGGGTAGTTTTGTCAATGTTTGGTAACACTTGCATCACTCAAGAGCTTCATCTGTCTCCGCTCCCCCGACAGACGTGGTGTCCGCCAGGTGAATATCCACGGGCGTCCACTACACACCAATGAGCTCTCGGTCTTCAGGAAGTCATATGTAAAAGTGCGAAGCTATGTTTTAACACTTCAATTTGTGCATTCTTCCAACACGTTTCCTCCTGAAGGGTTGGTCTTCGTTTGGATGTTTTGGATCATAAACAACTGTTACATTTCTCTCCCCAATGTGCACCCGAAGTCCCAGCCCCAGTCTGAATGTTTCTACTTCGGTGCTCCGCAACCATGCAGCTACTGAAGCTCGCCTTAGTGGGGATGTTATCATTAAAGCCTGTCTAAAGGGTGGGTTTCGCATCATTTGTCCGAATAATTTACCATAACAGGGATGTAGTTATTTCCCTTTTACCTCTTGTGGCAGTGCGATTATGTCAGTTCTGGCCACATCGTTCGGGAAAGCAGGTTTCATGCCCATCAAAAGTGTTTGTGTCCCTCTTAGAGCATTGTTAATGGGCTGACACGCTGTACGACTCTGGACGAAATTTCGAACATCCTACTGCCGCCGCAACCATCAGTAATGGCATTCAGTTGCTTGTTTAGCCCCAATGATACCTCCATGTCTGAGGTTGGTGTGCGTTGTTGCTAGAATTGCTGGTGTTGATGATTGTGGTGCCACAACTCGTCTGATGTGATCTCAGTCTGATTGTATTTTTGTGGTGTTTGTCAGTACATCCTTTTCTATTGGCCCAAAATTGACCTATATGCTTTGTATGCCATCTTTGTTACTCTCCCCTGAGCTGTAATCACATTCCTACACTACTATCACGTCGTATTTTGTTTCGTGCTTACTGATCGACTTGTAAGTCTGACTTGTTCCCAGTATTGGCTGCTTAGATTTTGAGCTTTATCATTCATACATATATGTATCACTGTTCAGGTTTGAAAGACGTATTTGGCGTCGTTTTCTGAATAAATTTATCAAATGGCCTGTGCAGAACACCGGTAGTTTACCGTACAAAGTTCGAAATTTAGCGCGCATGTGGAAGACTTATACCAAGCAAAATGAATCCAATTCATCTCACAATACTTGTTGCTCTCGCTTTTCAGAAGTTTTACTTGCCTTCAACAGAGGTATATGTAGGACATCTGCCTTAGCATGTTGTCATCCAGATCTCAACACGCTCTCCTAACAAGGCTCCAGTATGTGTTATTGCCATCTGGTGGTCCTTTATTTAAAATCTTCGAAATTTTGCCCCCTATGAAATGCTTTATGATCTGTACGAAGAATAAGCATCCTCCTGAAAAGAAATGCAAACACCTTCCTGCACATGACTAAGTAACTTCTCATTGTTTTGTTCTGCCTGGTGCCTCCGTGTCTATTCACGTGCTCTTTGCCAGCAGCACCCGCTTGGGAAGGTGTTGCAACGATGGGTTCGTAAACAGCACATGTATCCAAGTAGTAACGGTCAGCAACAACTGACGGATAGGGGGAGTCGAAACAGCTACCGAGAGAAAGGAGTCGTTTTAGCACCAAAAGGCACTCCTTGCAACTGATTTTTCAGTTGAACTGGGTGTTTCACTTGTCTGGTATGTAAGATGGCTAGTAATTTGTGCATGGCTTTTGGATGAAGCAGCGAAAGTAAACTCGTAATCCACAAAATACCAGGCACTATATTAGCACATGTCAGTGAACACTATCCTTAATCAGCAGCTACTTTTTCACGGTCACCGTCCGCTCCATTTAATGCCTCAAAATGACCGAGGACTTTGGCTTCCTTCTGAATCAGATAACTTTCTGAAATTTGACATCTTTCGGGCGTTGCGAAACTTCCCTCAATTATGCTGAACCGTGCTAGTGAACATCAGAATCTGTAGTAAGTAACCATTGCAAATACCAGGTATCAGGTCTTCAAGGTTAGCATGCATCGGAAGCCGAAAAAATGGAGGAGCAATTGTCCATACAAAAGATATACTTCGGCATTTGCACAACCTTGCTGAGATAATGAATTCGGTTTATAGCTGGTGGTCAGGCTTTACCTCAACTTACAAATATCAGCAAGCCAAACTGATGGTGAAGGACCAGGATGGACTCGATAGTGCTCCTAAATGCTCTTACAGTTGTGGCGTTCAATTTTCGATAACCTACTCTCAACACCAGTCTCACATACCTTTTTTTGCTGAACTAGTTGTAGAAGACCATGGGGAACTGGATGGCATGATGAATTTCCTCGGGAAGATATCTCTCATCGCGCTCTTGAGCTGAGGTCGGAACTTTGTAGATACCTGGCAGGCTGCGTTCTTGGTGGTGCACAGCAGCGTTCGGCACGGTCGTAAAGTCCTGCTCCTCCTCAGCCCCTCAAGATACCAAGCGATGGCGTACGCATACTCCGGAAGTACCTGACGGAATGCATCCCTATATCCCACGGATACATCTGCTGGTATTTTCTCTTCGGTGGCCTTTTCTGATAAGTTTATACTTGAACAGAGAAACTAGTTCCATTATTCGTTCGCGGCTTTATACTGGGGCCTAATATTTTCGTACCGTGATCTAAACAATGAACATTCGCCTCAAACTGACTCAACAGGACCAAGTGAATTGTCAGATCACATACTAGAGCACACATGAATATCACAGACAAATCATTGGACACTGTGTTCGCCTGCTACCTCCATTTTCGCATACTTCGCAGCTCATGGCTTCAGTTTTGACCCGATCGTTTTCCTTGAGCTTGAAGTGACCAATGTGGATAGTGCGGTGTAGGCTGCATTAGCACCAGTTAACCCAACAACATTTGGCTTATGGAAAATTTGAACATTAGGTGAGTTATTCCATAAACCAGAAACAGCAGGCACTTGTATGTCATCAGGGGCAACAGGGACAAACTCACCACGTTCTTCAAAAACGCCATTTTTAGGCTGCCATATTGGCGACTCATTTGTGCTTTGAAATCCGGTTGAACCTCAGCCATCAGAGTGATGGACACACCGCCAGGAGTGGCGCCGAAATGGTTGCTTCGCGGCCACTAACGATTGTTGAAAAATCCTTTCTGTGACACTTTACAAGCTCAATCCATTCTATCACTGCTTCTGTAAGCTTTCAGGAGCAATTCTTTTTCCTTAGGTATTCGCAAGGCTTCAGTTGTGCGCAGTAAATGACGCTCGATTGTTGTTCTACCTATTTCATCATGTCATAAGCCTCTTTTGAATTTTCGTAGAATAATGACTTCAATTGTATTGAGTAAACCACATGGAAAGGCCAAAGAAGCCAAGCGTTGAGGCTGTTATGCATCCTTGTGTGCTTCCACTCTACCGCTTAAAACAACCATGAAAAATTGGTCTATATTCCGCGGCACGAATCCGTGGGAGGAAAATTACGCATTTGAAAACAGTTGATCGATATCGTCTTCCAGACCCACATAAACTCTCAACTCGAAGGGCAGGATATACATTACAGCAGCCTCCCTACTGTTCCGTTGAAAACCGCTTCTAATAGCAATGGCTTTGGTCTTTCATCATAGCGAGGGACCGGATGGGAACAAACTCGTCGGGTGGGCTGATTTGGAAGCCGTTGGTTTAAGCAAGAGGTCTCAGTCCAAATGGAAGGCTTCGTTCAGCCAGCTCCTACTTCCAAAGTCTGTGGCCCGCTACTTCTTGTGGTTGTTAACCTGTGTCCGAGTAAATAAAGAGCAATATACTGGGTCTCTGGGATTAGCTGGTTAAGTGAGAGTTCCGAGAAACCCAGGGTGGCATGACAGCATGCCAAATGGCATGGATGCTTGACTGTATGACTTCAGATTAACAAGTCCGTTAACATGATGGAGACCACCATAAATGCCAAATATCACCCAACTTTAGGTGATTGATTTCCAGAAATTATTAGTGACTAAATCTCTGAACATTTGCCTTGATTCTCACAGAGGTTGACCGGAAAGATAGAAACAAAAGATCCAGGCGAATTCGTTCGCAACCTGTGGTGAATATCATGAAAAAATACCTCGGGAAAATTTCAGTTCATTACTTGAAGTCATAAGTTTGAATATACAAAGCAGATAAATAAGAAAAACTGAAGTAACTACATAGATGCAAAGAGAAATCATTCTCATGAATTGCATTGAGTTTTACAACAAAAATGAGTGACTTCTTGCACAAAACGTTACAAAGAAAGAATCAATCGACTTATGTTTGTCCACAGTCTTAATGTTGAATACTGAAGATTTATGCGCGCTGGAGACGACAGCTGCGTTTTGTTGCCAGCGCAAATGCTTTGCGTCTGTAGTTTGTGGGTCGTTAGCTCTGTTTTTGGATATTAGTCACTAAAATATGATTCCTTCAAATTGGGATGAGTTGAGAATCCAAGCTCGGATATTAGAGAGTGAAATCGACTCTAAACTAGCTACTTTTGGCAAGATTGGTGCTCGACCAGTGGAGCATAAACATTCTCCACGCTTCAGTGCTTCTGGTATATCTGTCAAGAGTGATGCAACTCCAACAATCCCATGCCATGAAGATTTTGACTCAAGTTTCAATGTCATGTGCAGTGAAATTGAAGAGCAACTACAAAGGTATGTTGACTAACTTCAAAATTCAGTTCAGCCCTTAGTAATAGGAATAGTAAGCCAATTTAACCTATTTTGATCCTTGCATTAGTTTTCGTTTTTGAAAGGTGTAGTTCCTCTTCGAATGCGTTCAAAGAATGAGCTGCTAGCACTTATTCGGGTAAGGAGTTCCAGTCGTTAATCACTGTGAGAAGCTTATACTCACGCTGGATTGGGTTGACCGTAGTTTTTGAATTTTCCGTTTGTGAATGCGATGTTAGAGATGGGACCGGAAAAACGTGGATTGCTGTACCTGAGACGTCATCATAGAAGCTTTGAAATGCTCTGCCAAGTGATCACAATACCAGAAAGCCTTGTGCTGCGGCTTCAATGGAGTGTGCAGATGTCTTCTAGTTGTGGTTGACTATAACACTCGTCTAGTTTTTCGGAAGTCAGGTACTGGTGTCCCACCTGTCGGTTACTGGTGACAGCTATTATGACCAATAAACATTCTCACATTTGCTAGAATTAATTTCTAACCGCCAATACTTGAATCACTTGTCTCGTTAATTTAAGACCCCTGTGAAATATGGCCATAAAGGTAAAATATATGAAAAGGCTTCAGGTGTTAAACCACCGTTGTAAACCTTCATCGACCGAGGTGGCTGGGACACGTTATGTGTGCCTAGTTACTGCCTACCCCTTCGCTCAATGTTAAAGTGAGTTAGGACTGGAAGGTTGGCGACGACCAGACTGAAACAGCATCAACCCACAAAGTCCCTGACTGTTGATCTGAGTCGTATGAGGAAGTGTAGACTTCTTGGTTGGGATCCGCGTGACGATAAGAACTAGTAGTTTAAGACTAGGTGACATGTTTCATAATCAATCTTAGTGGCACATGTGTATCCACATCTTAGGTGTCGTACGCAATTCAGTACTTTCTTATTTCTCCTTTCCCTTACTGCTTCTGACCTCTTCTTTATTTCTTTATCATTCATCTTAACGCATTCTCACTTGATCTGCTAATATGAGGTTTGGCAATTTGAGACGTCAAGCACTAATTTCGGGTTCTGTATTGCTGTTGGCGATGATTACGTCCGGTGCTAGTACACATATGTCGCTATTGATACGGATGATCTTACATATTTTCATGTCGTAGTCAAATAATAGCACCGATTACTTAATCATATCCAAGAGTTACCTTACATGGAGCAAGAAAAGCAGAATACTCGAGATTGTTCTTCGGGGAACCTCACAGGTTGCTACTCTGACTGCCCTATTTACCCTTGCTTTTCGTCTCCTATCTCACAGAACTTCGTAATCCAGACATGAATCGTAGTTCAAACCCGAAATTTAGGTGTTTCACTAATTCAACGTCCGAAACCTCGTCATACTAATAAGGATATGGAATAACATGTGCTTGGTCTGCTACCTAGTATTTATTTAAAGCTTCATGCTACTTTGGCGCTGCTTTGCTATAAGATGCATACTCGGTGCCCAGAAAAAGGATTAAGTCCCAACTGATATAGGACCAATATTCAATATTGTTTGTTGGTTGTCAAACACCATATGCAGTAAATATATTTTTAGGTATTCATTTTCAACTAAAGGATTCACTGGGGCGTTCCATTTACTTTCATCGGACACAGTTTAATGTGGTTCTACTTAATGATATGACCACGTATTCATTTATTGTGAGAGCTGTTAGCATCATAAGTTCTGAACAAAGTCGACGAATAAAATATGAGCACTCATGGTTATTAAGGATTTTGGGTAGTCACCTAAAATGAGTTAGGTAGTCGAATAAATTTTGGTAAGTGTAACATCTGAACTAGCAGCTACATCCTGACATGTGCGCCAACTACAGTAAACCTTTGCTTGGTGGTGGCGTGAGGTAAAATCCAGGACTAGTGTTTCACCCTATTTGGGATTCGTCAGTTATATGTACCTGCACTCCAGTAAGTGATATTGTTTCCGTTGAGACTCGAATACCTGTATCCGAGGTGCAGATGTATTGACATCATCTTGATCGTCGAAGCAAATCCTATCATTTTACTTCTTGTTTGTTCATGGCTTTTAACCACTTTCGACTACTTTTATCATTACTTCTCTTTCACCTGTGATATTCTAATTTGAGGTGTGGCGAACGAAAACAATACTCAGTAATGCTGGGTTTCATGGTGATCCCGGTTGATTGGTTTGAAAATATCCGTTTCTCTCAAGCCTCAATTGAGGACTGGATATACCACACAAGAATGCACACCATCCTATTATTTGATGCTGACATGGTCATTGATTGTAGATCTGCGGTGTGCGATATATGCTACTGACCAGCACACTTAGAATTAGACCACTTGCATCAATCAGCATGGTTTTGCTAGCCGGATGAAGGTGATCCAAACCCCGGACAGTCGTTTTTTTTCTTATCAGAAATGTAACTGGATTGATTCATCTGAAAGCCGGATTCTGACTAGTGAGAGATACTGTTTGGTGAGTAGTCTACAACTATGCATGTCAGTCATAGATATATTTCCTGCAGCTTTTATGCTCATACTCTTGACGTCGATTGTGGTGTCGAGCAAATCACATTACACCAACTGGATGTTATGGTTTCCGTAAGGAACGATGGAAGGGTTTCTCACCAAGGAATGTGTATTACGCGAACACCTTAATCGATTTATGAAATCTTCAGGAGTTTCACTATCGTTGGTTTGGAGGTCTATAATGAATGTTATAAGAATGTAAGATATAGGTCAATCATGTAAGGTTGTAAATCTGGTGACTCAAGGAATTCAGGTATAATTTACTTCTGACTACCTCATCACAAGGTTACTTCGAGTAAGAGTGCGTTAGGAAAAGCTTCAAAGCAGGCACCAGTCTACGTAATGTATGACGATCGGTCTAAGCTCTTGACGTCTTATTTGGCTGTAATTAGGAATATAGTTAAGACTGATTGCAAACTTCAAATGTTTGGTCCCAATACAGTCTAGTTGAATGATGTTTCTTTGGCTTGTTTTCATCTAGATCTTGGAAAATTTATAATTTAACTTCATTCATTCCATCTGGTACTATGTTCTTTCCTTCATTCTCTATCCTCTTCACCGCTGTTGACATTATTTTCAATCGTTATCCCATCTTGTTTGTTTTTGCCTTATTGTACTGGTTGAAAGTGTAAAAAATATCCATTTAAACAGTTGTCATGCTCGAGATTATTTGTGGCTAATTCCTGTAGCTTTCGGCCCACACAAAGAAAAGGTGTGTGAATTGAGAGAGTTTGCGTGCATTAGTTTTATCATATTCTAACGGTCAGCAAATAGTCCATAGGCTTTAACGACCATCTCCGAAGTTAAAATGTATATACGAAAGTTTCATTAAAAAGACTGAATGCAAAAGTTTCCAGAATTTATTTTTGGTCTTTCTATGTTTTGTCCTATCCGTCCAATGATTCCATCAAGTGGCAATAACTTTTCAACTCTTTCGGTTATGAAACACACAGGACCCTAGCTAAATGACTTTCTAAATCCACGTTTTGTTCAATGCTACATGAATTTTTTCATTGAGCATATAGTTGCTGAATGAGTTTTTTCATTAAATTACTTGCTAATTTTTCATGTTCATAACCAATAGACTCACTCAAATCAATGAACGGATGGCTACTTTTGTTCCTGAAACCGAAACCACACCTACCTCTTTGGATAATACCACACGAAATCCTCTTAATCCAACTACAATGATGGCGGCCGGTAGGCTTAGTCAGCTGCATACAGCTAAGCGACATCGTGAAATTCTTCGGGATTATGCTCAAGAATTTCGTCAAACGAAAGCCAAACTTATTGCTGCACGTGAACGGGAAACTCTTTTAGGATCAGTAAGCACTGTTTATTGTTGAGTTTTAGAAAAATTGTTCCTACATTTTATAACATGTCAAATGCTAACGCTTTATCAAAGTATTTTCAACTGTATAGTGTTTGTCAGACCAAATTATTAGTTATCTCAGTTGAAGCTTATTAAGCCGAATGATTAGATTGCTATTTTTTCCTCTCGGATGATTCTAGAAATCCATGATTCTGCACCCAAAGACCTAAATATTTCCAGAACATAATTTACATGACTATCCTGCTGATAAACACTTTTGACACCTTTTTCGGCTTTCTGTGGTACTTCAGTGCTGCAATGTGTTTTGGCTCTTGAGAATAGTGTTTCTACACAACATTTCTTATGGGAAATAGAATGGTTGCTGTTGTGGTTCGAAATTTGATCAGTATGTATGGGTTTCCTGTACACTTGAGTTTGTAGAGTACCGTTGTGTGTTCTGTTTATAAGGACATCTAAAAAAGGAAATTGTTTGTTGGCTTCCTCCTCCTTTGTGAAGTGAATTCCTTCAAATGTTTGGTTGATTAGTTCGAACGTGTTTTCTATTTTGTCTTCCTTGAGGATTACGAATATGTCGTCGACATTATTATTTTTATTATTTGTTCCTTGGGTACCTAGTGGAACATAGGGTGTCAGTAGCACGTCACCGTTTCACCCTATTCTCTGCAGTCTTTTCAACTTGGCTCCACCACTACACAGAAGCTCTCATTTCTTCCTCACACGATCTCCTCCATGTCACCCTCGGACACCCAACTCGTCGTATCACCTTTGAATTCCGCTCGACGGCCTGGCGTGTGATGTCCCCAATCGGCCTTCTCAGTGTGTACCCAATCCATCTCGACTTTCTTCTGCATATTTATTAGGCTATAGGTTCTTGGTTGGTTCGTTACCCAATCAGAGTTCCTTGTTACTTATTCTTATTATTCTGACCATCTGATCTTCAGTATCGATTGAGCATAGGCAGCTGTTGATGTATGTCTGCAGTTTGTTGGAAATACTTTCGATGACGCGCCAATTTTCTGAACCACCACATAGAAGCACTGACTTGACGTTGGTGTTGAAAATTCAGCTCTTGTTCACGCTTTATGCTGAGTGCAGTGCAGTGCAGTGGATCTCCACACTGATTTCAGATTTATGCAGGAAGGCCTGTCTTTCTTGTCCGATCCTGGCTTTGCCATCCTCATCTGTGCCACCGCCGCCGCCTGTATTTGAAATGATGCAGTCTAGGCAGGTAGGTGAAAGAGACAACCTCCTTTATATTGCTCCCATTCATGGTGATTGGTGCTTGTTGTTGTTGCTGTTGTTGGTTGGGTATCTTCATCGCCTCTGTCTTCTCTACGTTCAGCTGAAGGAAGTCCCGTCTTCTCTGACTCGCCTCTTCTGTCAACATATTGGTTTTTACCTGTAGATCTTCGAGTTTGTTCAACAAGACATTGGACATAAATCATCGGCGGCGAAATCCAAATCTTCTTCTAGGGTCTTTTCACCGGTCCAGCGTATGCCCATCTCTTCTCTCCTTACAGTTTGTTGCATGATCCAGTCCAGTCTAGTCGACCACAATCAGGAAGATCATGGCTGATATAAACGTTAATCTTATCTTACTCCTGTCTTCACTTCGAAGGGATCAAAACTTTCCATTGTGAATCACTTGGGGTGTAGCGTCGTTGTCATACCGAGTCCAGATTTTTGGCTGGATGAGAGAGCCGACTATTGATTTCATGCGCTGCATCACAGCTTCGGCAATCGATCATAATATTGGCGATTTCTTAGGTAATCTTTTTGTTTGGTGTGAATCTTCCTATTGGATTTAAAATAGCTCATGAGACGTTAGTCGATCAATTTTACTTGGTTTGGAGCCGTGATCATATAGCCAGAAAGGGTTTCGTTGCTCTTCAAAAGAATATCCATCATCTCCCCGGCTAGATTTGAGTCGATTGTAGTGAGGAGTGAAGTCACACCAAAGAATACCCCTTCATCATTCCGTGTCCTTAAATGTTTTATTTTGTCTAGAAATTCAGTTGCTAAGCTGACTGAGTGTTCATTTCCATAAACGGGATGCTTTAGTTTTCTGTATCATTTCTTCGATAAGCTGAATGGTGTTCCATGTAATGAAATTATTGGTCTCCAGAATATTTATCTTATATAGTTTTGATCGACCGTAGAACCTCAGTAGGACTGGTCCGTTTATCTTCATCCCCCATTGCTCTCCTTTTGTGATTTGACCAACTTTCATTAAACTCAGTTTTCTTTGGATATGATTATCCAACTGTGTCATATTGGATTAGGGTCTAGTGGTTAGTATACACTTTTATCGTTTAGTAATTCTCGTACCTTTTTGAAATAGTCTATTTCGATCATGATGACGGTTTTCCTTCCTTTGTCCGAAGGTAATATCTTGTCTTGTCAGTCTTATCAGTCTTAAGCGATTTCAGTGCATTTGTTTATTTTCTGTCTAGACGGTATTGTTTTTTGATTTTCATTTGAGGTAAAACTGATTGACGTAGTTCTTGTTGTTGCTCAACATTAAATCCTGAGGTTTTCAATGTAGACTCCAAAGAAGCACATAAATCTAGATGTTCCACTGTAAACTTTGATGTAAGAAGAAAAGCTCTGCGAATGGCGAAGTCCTCCTATTTCCGAGCATAGAGGAGATTTTGAAATGATGGAAAATATTTCTGTCTCAGAATGATGGTAGTTTGGTGTTGCATGATCTTAGTAAAAACACTGTCTGAGCATTCGTATGACATTTGAATATGCTTCACTTCTTTATGAAGTTAGTGCTGAAGACGTCACCAAGCCTGATAGTGAGACGTACACAACAAAATATCAAAGCTCAGAGAACCTGAAATCACCACATGACTATGTGTTTGAAAAAGTTAATATGTCTCAGCTTCCGTTAGTTTTGTTGCAGACTCCAGATGATGTGGCTCAGAACCGATGTCAGTGGCGCAGTTGTATACACACATTACCCTCATCTTAACATTATGCCGAATCTCACCAGTTTCCCATTCTTCCTTTTTTTTCTTTTCGTACTTTATATTTCTTTTGACTGAGTTTTCTTATCTTCCTCTTACACCTCATTGCCTTTTTACTTGATGTACTGATATGAGTTGTGGCAACTGGGACCGTTACGCAGTAATGCCTGGTCCTATGTTGATATTGATGATGATGATGATTGATTTCGTTAGTTAGAACTCAACATTAGTCCACATCTATTACTGCCGATCCATCTGCAGTTGTCAACTAAGAATTCGTTGACCACTTAACTTTTTTAAGTACACAAAACATGCCAAATCTGTAGCCAAACTATATACTATTAAAAAACTAGCATACTTATTTGCAAGCCAATAGATAAATATGTCGAGCAGAACATCACAAGAGCACAATAGTATAGTGTTTCAAGTTTCAAACACACATAGGAGTAGATAAAAAACGGATAAATTAAAAAAAATCGATGCTATTCATAACCCACCGTTGTTAACAATCATCAAATGAATATGTAGCAGGTTTGTTGTGAAACCCTCGTCTTGTGAGAAATTTAGCTATAACTTTACCCATTAGGGCTGTGACTCAGTATAATTCTTATGACTTAGTCACTAGGCTCTCGGTTCAAAACAATTTCACTTCAGATAATGTAATTAGAAGACATGTTTTATCTGAACAATGGGATGCATTTTCGCAATACATTTCAAACAATCTGATCATACATTTACTTGTCAGGTCAATTTATATTAATAAACCAAAGAATGGCAGGACAAATACTAATAATTAATTAAAATTAAGAAAGATGAGAGCAAAAAGGAAGAGTGACGTAGTTGACCCAAGTCTTGGTAAGGAAACAATGTCTATCAATGTAGGTGTAGTGTAAGAACAAATTGTTTTTATACGCATAAAGGTGGTTTCAATTTGTGTGTGGCTATCACTCCCACAAATCTCAGTATGCGTCCCTGACTTTTTCTAAATAAAACTTTGAAAGCTGTTTGAACGTTAATTTTGTGACCTGTTTCTCCCACTCTTCAATTTAATATAAATTGAATTGGCAAGTAAATGTGTGATCAGATTGTTTGAAATGTATTACACAAATACATCACTTTGTTCGGATAAACTTCATCTATTAGTTACACCATCTAGATTCATAAAAGGGATTAATTGTTTCAAATTTCACTTCAGTAGATGTCTACAACTGGACAGTGTCATTACTGTCCATATAACATACACATGGCTTACAACCAACTGCGCCAATATGTACGTATTGAACGACATATTTAAACTTAAGAAGAAAAGTTTCGTAACAGAAAAACATCACTTACTCCTGCAGTTTATGGAGCAAAGACGTCTGTATATGTAGACCTGGACAACTTGCTAATATCGTAAGCCCTCAGACAACGGGTGCGACTAATATTTTAGCACAAAGCTATATCGGGTTAAGCTGTAGTGTTATCGAAAGACAGGTTCCATGTTGAAAATGAGTGGTTGAGTAAATGTTGTCGTAACTTAACGCATGCAACTAACTGTTTGTTTACCCTATGACTGGTTCGCAGAAGTGAAAGGTGGTTATTGTGAAAGATGATGCCGTGGTGTAAAGTGCAGTCGTCGTAAGGATCTGCAAGCGTCTCATGATTCCCTGAATGGGGTGGTCTGAGTGACTTGAAACGATAACAGACGTGGCTCGGAATACCAGTGGCAATCACGCTGCATCTTTCTTGATTCTATCATGACTAGTGTAAGATGGAACTAGTAAGACTTCTGCCATAACCGAATCGTGTTTTTCTCTTAGGTTTTTCCCCTTTTTAATTTCTGCGTTTTTTTCTCAGTGTCATTATATCAAAAAAGACAATTCAGCCAAAAAAATTTTCCTTTCGACGAATCACTTTCAAAAGCTGTAAATCGTAATCATACTTACAGCAAAATATATATCCATCAGTGGCTTATGGGTCGATACAAGGTCATCAAAAACGGTCAATAAGTCACAAGGTGATAACGGTTAAAAAGTTAGATCAGGGTTATCAACAATTGCTTTTAGGATTGTAGTTAGTAACAAAGAAATGAATAAACTGTCTTAAGGAGATTACGACCAAGAAAAAATTAAAGATTGAATGTATCTTTTTTGAACACAAAGAGAAGGCGTGTAATTTTGGATTGCCGGAGCCTCTGCTGTGTTGAAGTGGCGAATTTGCACTCGCTTCGGACCGTTTGCCTCCACTTTATAAGTGACTTTGAGTGGAGACTCGTGGAGCACAGCGATCAAAGAATCGAGTTTGTTGACGGCTTTACACTATCCTTTAGACAGCCATGCGGGACAGTGTTCGGAGATGCATTTGGATAGAACATGCTTTGTACGTCCTATGTGACCAGCTCCGCAAGAGCAGATGAATTGATAAACACATATGGAGGTAGCCTAAAGCGGTAGTCTGTCCTTTACACACCCTCGAATCAGTTGTTGGCTGAAAATAATCCGAAGCTAAGCATAGTCATTTCTTTAGTGTCTCTGCCAATGTATCTCTCTTGAATCCAATATTCATAAACAGTTTTCTTTGGAACCGTAGGGACTTCTTCCTTTGAATCCTTAGACTTCATGTTCCACTCAATTAATCTTGAAGGATAGCCATTTTTGATTACGATGTACAGCTTTTGAAAAGATTTTCTTCGCTGAATCGTCTCTTATTAATTTTTCATTATCTAATGGGACTATTTCGATTGTCGTTATGCCACTTTGTGTGGTGCATCCCTTGGTGCCCATGATATATCAAGTCTTTTTTATGAATAAAAACTGCATAGCATCACTTTGAGTCACTTTTTCCACGTAATGAATGCAAACTGTCCCTAAACGTATTTTCGCCTTATGTATTAACGTGAAGCGTTGAGCTCATTTCTCTTGAATGTTCTCATAAAAAATATTGTGATATAAAGCGTATTGAGTCACTAACGTTAAAAAAATCTGTTGATTATTGTTAATGCCCAAATTTAAACATAACCTCGCAATCAGTTTAAAAGTTCAACTTCACGGATGCATGCCGATTGACTCTGAGCACCTATTATTAAAGCAAAGTACACTACAGGGGTGTAACAATTAGCTCAGTAACCACATCGTAAACTTAATTTATGAACTTTGATCAGCACTTCAAGCCTGATCACTACAATATTCGCTGTGTTGATGAATTCAATTTACTGAAAATCTTATCAAGATATTAGAGAAGATAAGAAATTCAGTTATCTCTTTTTCGGCGTTTTATTCTCTACAGCTATACAGTCGCACCCTATATTTTCCCCCTTACTATATTGGATAGTTACAAGCACCATGTAATTGAACATAGTTACAAAGATCAATTTGAATGAAGATCACAATGTGATGTAAGGTGAAGATTAATCTAAAAAAAAACAATTGACAGAATAGGTTGTAAAGTTGCACAGTATGTACAAATAACTTTTAAGGTAAAACATAATGAATGGTAGCAAGGGAATAAAATGACAGGGATTTTGGGCTGCTAAAATACGTAATAAAGTATAGCGAAATTGTGAATGCTAAGAGAGAGGTGGAAGTTGCCGTTTTTCGCTATTTACCAAGTCAAAGGTAGCAAAAAGTTTGAACAAGTTTCCTTTGTACTCATAACTCTGGTTTTTCCATGCATATTACAAGAGCTACTGAAGTACAAAGAAGGCCGAAACAATTTTTCGGCAGATTTCTTTTCATGATTTAAATAACTCTGGACGTTGAATCTCAGTTGTGATGCTCTGACCAGTGTTGACAAGGTGCTCAATTATTGTAATTCTGATGGATCCACTCGCACCTCTACAGCCAAATAGGGTAATGTTTTCTAACTCGTTTAAAAGAACGCACATCAAACGAATCTACATACCTGACTCTACAGGAGTAAGTGAATTGACAAATGCATATGTAAGTGATCAGATATGGAAACTTATCTTTCTGGTTGTTGGGAAACAATCGACGACTGGAGAATATTGTCCTCGTATTGATGTGAAGAAAGTTCGAAATTCACCGGCGAAGTCAATATTCATGTAGAATATTTCCTTCGAAACTCAAACGGGTATCTCTTTTTGTGGTTTGGGTTTTGTATTTTTGTTCACAAATCGTGCTGTATATCCGTTTTCATCCAGAGCCTTTTTGAGAAACGTGAGTTCTTCTAAGCTATTAGTGCTGCAGATTTTCATAATACGGTGAACAAAGGACACTAAGTGTTCTTTTTCGACTTACAGGTACCCAACTGTAAAAACTCATCAGCTCACCATTCCATACAGGTATCCTTTAGATGGACCTCTTTAATGTCCCACCATTTTGTCTGGTGAGTTCTAAACGCGAAATCGGAACCTTCGATTCCTTTTCTACTTCAGGTGTGAATTTCATTGAGAGATGGCAACTGTTAAGTACTTGTGAAACATAACTTAGTTCACAGTCATCATGGCAAAGTATGAAGATATCATCAACTTACCTTTTTTACACCAACAATCCGTCAATGGTGGACTAAGAGGTGAACTCATGACGATTCAGTCTATTTGGCGCTAATCATATCATTGAAAGAAACTTGGATATTGAAGATGCTCCTAAGCAGCAGTTCTTTGAGGTACGAGGTGGATATATCAGTATTCAAGTTGCTGTCATCTAATATTTACAAAGGAAATAGATCATCTCTATGAGTGGCATACTAGGGAAGAGAGATTCTACGTCGATGGGTAACAAATGTTTTTCAGTTATTTTCAAATCTTGCGCAGTCGGTGAATCCGAGAGTGTTTCAGAGGGAGTGAGCGGATAGCTGTCTCATTGCAGACTGTAATATTCAAGAAAGCCACTTCGCAGTCTGAGGGTGGAGTGATCCTGACATATCCGAAATTGGACGAAGTGACTGGCAAGCTTTTAAGCAATTGACTGCTCGATTTATATATATATATATATATATATATATATATATATATATATATATATATATATATATATATTCTGTTTCGTAGTTGTTAAGCCCTCAGTCTTCATCTGAGTGTTCATGGATGTGAATCCTTCTCTACCTAGGAAAGTTTAGGCAACCGACTGATTTCATTACCCCTAAAAATATATTTAGCATTGAAACTGTATGTTTATTACTATGTCTTACTGTTGTACATTTTTCACCGTATTCGAATTCCCTTCATTATAGGTCTACAGAGATACAAATTCTACAACTGTAAATCTTAGTGCTAATTTTACCTCAAGACCTCAGTCTGAAGTAGATTCCTCTGGTGGTAATCAACGTACTGGTGTACAGTCAAATATCTCTAGTTCAACTCGTTTACTCTTAGATGAGCAAGAAAAATACCATCGATCCAATCGCCTATTGGATGAACATCTAGCCGCAGCATCAACAATACGTGCAGCATTGCGTGCTCAGCGTTTTGCATTGCGTACTGCTTCCACTGGCTTATCAAATTTAAGTTCCCGCTTTCCGCAAGTAAAGAAATTAATCAGCAAAATCGACTGGCGTCATAAACAAGATTCAATTGTATTGGGATTAGTAATTGGTTGTTGTGTTGTGTTTCTTTTGATTTATCGATTTAGTTGAGTTTCATATGCATATATACATATTACTTATTTTTTTTAGGAAGTAGTACTCTGTTGCTTTGGTTAATGTCTTGCTAATTGCAAAAGGGAAATGACGTGTGTGTGTGTACATGTATTTGTTGATGCTGAGATAGCAGAAAAGAAAGCATAAGAGAAAAAAGTACTTAGTCCAATCACACCACTTACACATGGGTTCTCCAAAGTCCCTGTAGGATTATATATATATATATATATATATATATATATATATATATATATATATATATATATATATATATATATATATATATATATATATAATCCTACAGGGACTTTGGAGAACCCATGTGTAAGTGGTGTGATTGGACTAAGTACTTTTTCCTCTTATGCTTTCTTTTCTGCTATCTTGGCATCAACTTTTTCTCTCTTTCATTGAATGCTGCACGTACTTGAAAAATAAACACTTGTTAAAAACGTCTGTTTGTAATATGAAATTGAATAAATGTGTTCTGCATAGTCGATAAAACAGATTCAAGTCATATCACTAGTGAAAGTGTAAATGTCTTTCATCTCAACAAATGGATGAACACGTCATTTGGAGAAAGAGTCATTCTGTGCAGAGCTAATCTTGTTTATTTTTTGTTTTTCTGCTTTGTGTTTGTCATACTTATCAGCAATAAGAACAGTTATTTAATGAAGAAAGGATAACTGAAAATTGTCACTAATTGTACACAGACTTATCAGGGTTGGTACAAAGAATATCATTTGTATCCCCTATTACGTCGTAAATGTATTCTTTTTTTTCAACGATTGTTTTGGTTTTATTCTTACTCGATTTTTTAAAGAGTAAAAATATAAAAGTAAAATAATGTCTTCCGAAAAACATTTTCACGCATACAGTAACAAATGTGGGGCTATGGTTTTTTTAACTATACAGTTGACTTTCAACTAATAGGTTACGGGCTGGAAGCCCCTTCATCTACACATGTTTGGGAATTCAGGTAGAGTCATTAGGCCTGGTAGGTGTGGCTCGTTGCGTACTGCATAAACATGCACGTGGTCGCCTAAAGAGTTTGTTGTGATTAATAATAAATACTAGTCAGTTGGAGGCAATCGGTAGTAAGCTCTCGCCTAGATATCGTGCTTGTTGGTACTCGTATATTAGCCGTATCTGCAATCTCCAGGAGAGCTGATCTGCCGTGTGAAGCATAAACCCGTGAAATCCCGCATTGCGGAGACATGAAGCGATTACAAGGTTATGAGCACAGATATTTTTGTATCATTGCTTGCGTTTGGTGGAATCACCGTGTGAGCAATGTTGAAGTCAGGTGAAGGCTCTTAGGCAAAACAGAAAAGTCTATTGATGTGATTGTCAACCTTGGTCAACTGATTTGGCTTTGACATAAACCGCGCATACTGAGCTAGCGCCCACCTCGATGGGCCACGCTATGGGTAGTGTGGTTAGGTTGGAAAACGGTTTAGGGTAGCAGTACCAAGACATGACAACAGTCAATGAAGTCTCCTATTGTTGTTCTGAGACGTGTGCGGAAATGTAAACTGCTTGGTTGAGGTCTCCTAAACGGAAGAAATCAGTGGTTGAGAACTGCTGGTTATATGGCTGAAAATCGGTCACGGCGCAGATTTATTCATTCCTTGTCACCTTCTAAAACTTGAATATTTGCACTAACCGTTATCTTCAGATTGTTTGTTCTCTCATACTACTTTGATATCACTCTTTTCCTATCCACCTGTTGTTTGTGTACTATTGTGACTTGTGGCAACTTAGGCCGATACACCTGTATGTGAAGTTTTACTTTGAATTTTTCAGTAAGTTGCCAGTCATTGAAAAGCTGCTTCGTCCTATTATGGGACTCGACGACGAAACACATATCCGTGAGGGCTTGAGCCCTTGACCTTTACGTTTCTCAGTGACCACTTTGTCATTCAACCACTGAATCGGGAACCAACGGTACACATTTTCCTATGTCTTTCTTTGGCAGTTCATATCTCAGAGATATTATCAACGAGATATATCTTGAGCTGATACTCAAAAAGGATGTCTTTCGATTATGATTGGAAAACGTGTCCATGTAGGTCACTTTCACTGAAATTATTACCACGACTCGCAAACTACTCTAAAAGGATAATAAATCGCACTCAGCAGTCTTGCCAACATTCGTGCAGTAGGCAATGAGCTACACATGTTGTATGAAGACTAATGATGCTACTTTGCTGCCAAAACGTCGGTAGGTGTAGTGGGGTCCGAACTCGTGAAGTATTCCTAATCATCACTTGTCTCACTCCATGAAAAAAGATAAAAGCTTTGTTGTGAAAGCTCTATCACTCCAATTTCCATCATTATCGGAAATGTGACTATTTCCCGAATGAAGCAAACTCGGTGTAGGTGTAGGGTATTCACTTATAAAGAAAAGCGTTTCTTGGAATTCTCATCTTAGACCAGGTCCCAAAGTGTCTGAATTTCAACACTTCTTCACTCGATAGTCTGAAATCATTTCATTTATCCTACGAGGATTTGATCGTTAAATTAATCAAATCCGATTTCTAAAGCTTTGGCATATTAACAATAAAAGTTTAGGCATTTAGGACTGAGGTCAGAAGACAATACTTGGTCGACAACGCAACGTAGTTAGTAATTAGATGCTATATCAAATAAACATCCAGTGGGTGACAGCAAGTGTTGGTATGGAGAATTGGGATTATGGTTCTAATTCTCACTAAACTTCCTGCTAACTAGGTTTTTATTGACCAGATGTTCACCTTCTGACAGGTTCTGGGAGCTAGACACACTTGGTAGCGGACACTTGGACGGCATTCGACTCAGTCGATCAAAAATTGTATCATGGTATCTATCACTCAAAGGCTTATCGGGTATACGCACCAGGCAGTTGAAATTTTTTATTTAGATAACTGTAGGCGTGTTGGGACTAGTGAATGACCAGGTGATTCATGTATGTCTAGTGGTGTCCGTTAAGGATGTCTCCTCACTCTATTATTGTTTAATTTTGTCACAGACGTACTTATGAAGGTCCCCCTCATCACTTGACCCTCAAGTTTTTGATCTTGTCACAGGAGACACCATAGTAGACCTTGAGCATGCAGATGAAAGAGTCTTGTTAGATGAAGACACTAAGCAGTTCCAGAGTATTCTGAACATCCTAAATGTCAATTTGAGAATGCTTAGGATGCGTTTTTCATCACAGGAATGCAAATTGTTGCTCCACGTCATGTCTGCGGAGGTGCCTCACCTAAGAATAGGAGTAGAGTGCGTTGACCACTTCCCTCATCCGGGGAGTCGAATCGATCTTGATGGTTCACTGACCTATGAAATCTCTTCGTGGACATAAGAGGGTTGCCTAGCTTTTGCCAGCTTATATCATTTAATGCACCAGTCTGATATCCATGTATCATAGTGCTGCCATATCAGTAATGCGGAAGTTAACTGTAGAGTTTTAGGGAGAAGAGGAATGTCAGTTATCTGGGACATGTGTTACACATGTTTAGCCACCGTCTGCCTGGTCGCACAATGTTTGCTGAAGAAGGTTAAGATTGGGAAGAGGTTAGAGGTGGCCTGACTAAACCACCACTCATTTCATGAAATCTTTGAGCAGTTGTCACAGCCGTGTAGGGAAATGTAGACTTCCTAGTTTGACAGCAGAAAATAGTAGTTGATGACTTCAGGTGGTTTGTCAGTGGCACGGATTTATCCCCACATTATCTTCATCCTAATAGTCATACTCAATTTTGGCATTTCTTTTCTACCTTGTTCTCTTTTGATGACTTTCTACCACTTTTGACTGCTTTCTTTATTTCATTGTCTTTCGTCTTAGTGTATTTTCTTGTGACGTGGTAATTTGGAACGCTACGTAGTGATACCAGCTCTTACGTTGCCGTCTCCCGTCTGTCTGTCATGCAATCACACTTAATCGAAACCGGTCATGGCGGACACGAAATGCGTCAGTCCAGTGATTCATAAGATAGCTGGAAAAGTAGCTAGCATACTCTCTTATTCTTCCTATACTTTGCCGGATCCTGATATTCTGAGATATGTGTGGATTTTTGTTATGGGACGTGTTATCCTTCAGCTAATGGAAGAAAGGATTGTGAAGACTCAGTCAATCACGGGGAATCGAGAGCTAAGATACACCGTCCAACTCTTTTCTATGATCCTAGGTCCTATGGTTATATACCGTCGATACAGACGTCTAATGGTGAAGTATCTCACTGGGAGCTTTCGGGATAAATATCAGCCTGTTGAAGATTCTACATTCGAACACCCAGGGGAAAGGAAAAGTTTGAGTCTCACCACAATAAAGCGAATTGTCATTCTAAAAGGAGTCTATGTCAGCTTCCTTTCAAAAATGTAAAATGTTAGATTAGATAAGCCACTAGAACATACCAGCCTCAAACGTCGTGATGTGCTATGTCAATAATCCCCAGCTAAATATCACCAATCGGAATTTATCTGCGGAATGCATGTCGTACTCACTAAGAAAAACCGGACTTAAACTGCAAACAAATCGGTCACCGCATGGGAACCAGTTTAATTCTCTTGTCCTTCCTACAAATCGAATTCTGTTGATAAGTAAATGCAATGAGGTCAATAGAGTCAGTTACAGGAAATTATTTGACACCTGGCTTAGTCCGTCGGTTTATCAGGATCAACATGGCATTTCTGCGTAATGATTCAATTTGCTACACCAAGATGAAATGACGAAGAAAGTGATTCCATATTAGATTTGTTTATTTGATAAAGTATTATCTACTTGATGACTTCTCTAGCATACATTATTCCTCATAATCGAATCAATGTAATCACACTACTTGCGATACCTGATTTTTATAGTCCTGTCCCCTGATATTCTTCGTTTTTATTGGTAGTAAAGTTTTCTATATCTCTGGTATAGGTGTTGCGTCATTTCTATCACATGTGTTGGGTGTAGATTCGATGAACAAAGATTCAGTAGTCAATCCTTCTCCCCACCTAATTATCTTGGACTTGAGTATAGTGATTTGATCCCATCCAGCCTATTGTGTAGTTGTGCGTTAATTCATGCATTGTAATAGCAGTGTTTTCTAGATTATTGATCTTATTTGAGTCTGTTATTCTATATTTAGCTCAATTCCTATGTTCCGCTAATCTGTCTGACTCCGAACGGCTAGTTTGATTGATGTACTTGACCCCACAATCATTGCATGGAGTTTGGTAGATTAGAT